TTAGACCACTGAGCCATCTCTCCAGCCCTCTTCGTTTTTTTTTTTTAATTACTCATTGGTACCTTTTGGGTAGACACAATGACTGCATTCACCATAGAGAATTTGTACCTGTACATGGTATAACTTGATGTGTTCCTGCTGCCCTTCCCTCTATTTAAGCCCTCTTCCCTCCTTATCTACAACAGCTTTCTCACTTTTTCCTACTTTCCCCTTTTTCCTTTCCTTCCTCTCCTCCTCTCCTCCCTAGCTCCTCCTCCCATCTGAACATTTCCTTCCCATGTCACAATATCTACTATACACTTCGGCTCTTCTGTACACTTCAGGTTTCTCACACCAGAAAAACAATTCGATATTTACATGTCTGATTTATTTCACGTTAACAGTATGGTTTTAAGCTGCACCTATTTACTTTTTTTTTTTTTTTTTATGTATTTAGTACAGGGTCTACGGGGTCTCACTACATAGATTGAACTCTAGTGATTCTCCTGCTTTCAGCCTCCCAAGCACTGGGATTGCGCCACCACGCCCAGTCTCAATCACAGCCTCAGCACACCCTGGGGAAGGGCTGGCATGGGACGCCGGAAATCGAACCCTGGTCCCTGAGCCTGCCTAAGCAGGCGCTGCTGTCCACTGAGCTACCTGGCCAGCCCTCAAGCTGTACCAATTTGGCTAGACATGCCTCCAGCTTGTCCTTTATGGCAAAGTAGTACTCCACTGTATAAAAAACACATCTTTTTTGTATTTAGTTGTTCTTTTTTTTTTCTTTTCCATGTAGCAAATTTACATAGATATTTTCAGAAGTCAAATCTAGTATTTTTTTGTTTTGAGCCAGGGTCTTGCTATGCAGTTCAGCTTGGCTTTGCACTCTCAATGACCCTCCTGCTTCAGCCTCCTGACTGCTGGGATTACAGGTGTGCACCCAAGTGTGGCAACTGTAGCTCTGTAGTAAGAAGGGCTCATGCTCATTTACGGAGGCCCCTCACCTCCCTGCCTTGACTAACATCTACACGAACTGGGCTTCCCCACAGCTCACCTCTGCCGAGCAGTCTGGCTCCTCGTGCAAGGCCAGTTGTGCCCAGATGATGACTCTTTCTGCAGTTTTCTCTGCTGCAGCAGGAGGCAGAGACCTCAGCAGCAGGAGGCAGTCTTCGCGCTGTGAACAGGCAGAGAGAGCAGGAACATAAGCTGGCATTGGCCAGGAACAACCTGGCCTTACCAGGTGATGACAAGAAAAACAAAGAAAGAACCTGACCTCAGGGCCAGGGATGTAGCTCAGCATTATAAGCACCTGCCTGGCAAGTACAAGGTCTTGAGTTCAATTCCTAGTACAAAAAAAAAAACCAACCCGATGTCACTTGCCCAGCAAGCAAGAGACCTAGGTTTGCTCTCTGGCATTATAAAAGAAAGATAAAAAGATAGTT